ACGAATATCCCAAGTTTTTGCGAGGAAGTGGAATGCGCGGCAATCCCAAGATTATAGCCACCTCGAAGTACTATTGCTCGCGCCTCTAGAGGCAGAGCAACAGATCAGAGTGTGATCGCAACATCGCAATCTGTTATCACTGCAAAAATAATCCATCTTAAATACTAACTGGGAAACGGACACGGCGCTCCAATCCCCACCTAGCGGCAGGTCTGTGCCTGACCTTGAGCCCATCGGCTTGACTGTGGACCATTCTGTTGTGGGGAAAGGCTTGTCAACAGTGTGCGTGAAGTTATCAAACCAAACCTCCTCCGATTTACGTTGCATGTGACAGCACTCACTGAAGCGATCGGCTCTAACTTCAAACAGTTTATTTCAGAAATCTAGAGATGAAACTCATTAGTCATGTGAATTTTAAGAAACAAATTTTTACTTTTGGCAGGCAATCTGAATTTTGACAAACCAGTTTCGAAGTTTTAAAAGTGGTTCTGAAATTTACCAACTATCTATTACCGTAAACCGGGGTAACTTGAGACAATATTTCACGATTTTTGGACCGTTTGTCTACAAAACTTCTCTCACCAAGCCGAATCCTAACTATGTTTAATTTCACATGATTACAATCGGTTTGGAACCCATGAATTTTTGGGGGGTCAACTAAAATGAGTCATGGGCTTCTAAAGTTGTCTCAAGTTACCCCGTCATATGCACTGTGAAAATTTGAGTCGTCACTTGATGACAATTTCAAGGCTAATTTTCCTTACAACAATGTCATCAAAAAAATTGATGACATTGTTGTCACGCCCATGCAATAAGTATAGGAGCTTTGATGAAAATGTCATCAATTTGTGATGAGATTGTCATGATTTGAAAGTGATGAAAATGTCATCGGCGTTTTTGTCATAAAGTGACAACAAGTTTTCTCAGTGTGGGGTAACTTGAGACATACCTGTTTTTAGGCACGAAGTAGCCTTATAGTATACCCAGGACTCAGCCGGCTCGAGATTTGATTTGTGTGGCCCTTTATGCATTTCGGAAGTTTTCTATACGATTTTAACGAGATTTTGCAGACTAGTAGAACTTTGAACGCTGATTCTGATGTTGAAATCTGGTCAAAAATTTGGTGGCCAATTTTGAGAAATTTGCTGTCAAAATCGCCGTTTCCATGGCAAAACTCGACTCGTCAAAGGAAAAAAAAGGGAGTGGGGGGAGCCGAGCCGGGGCGGACCAATAGCGGAGCTTCTTTTTGGGTCTGTACAGCTTACTCCAAAAGCTGAAAAAGCAACGTTCGAAATGAAAAATTTCTTTGACTGCAGGTAGACAAGATGCAACAATAGAATTGGTGCCGGTTCGAACGCAGTTTTTCGGGTAGAACTATCCAATAATACTTCTTGATTGGAGTGTTTTTGGACATGCGCAGTGTTGTTGTTGTGATTCAGTTAGCACTAGGACCACTTCGCTCCACCTCGCGACTTGCAGTGCTCATGTTCCTCGAACAAGACTCACCCGCGTTTCGAAACCATCCCTCCCGAGTTTATGAAGTTTGTCAAACCAACCGTCGTGGTGTTGATACGTTGTAAGGGAGAACTATTACACAGAATTGAAGAAAACATGACTAGAGAACCATAGCCTTTTGAAACAAGCCAAACAATTCAACGTCCACAACAATGGAGGGGCAGTTTTAATGCGCGACTGCTGGCGCTTTCAGCTTCGCGATTTTCGCAAGGGCGCAGACGCCGAGAAAATAGTTGCCAACCCGAGAAAATTAATTTACTGACTTCTTTCTGCTAAGAACATTTTAATCATGATGGACTTCAAAGATGTTCCATTGTCAGAACACTGCGGAATACATTAGCATTGGAATTTTTTGAATTTACCAGCATTTTGATTTCTATTTATTGTCAAGTTTAAATTTCGACGGATGGCACATCGACCACATTGGTACCACTGCCATTGGTAGTCCCCTGAGCCACAACTTCACAACACCACTTCTTTTCTTTCTCCACACTCTTACACAATAATCAAATTGACTTCGTGACTCCTAGGATTTCTTGAAATCGTATTTTTTACTTTGCTTTTTAACGGAAGTGAGTTTTTGCCGGTCCATACTGATTTTCTGAGACATTTATCTCATTTTCAATGAAAAGTACTACTTTTCTCTCGATGACTGCAACATTTGCTACTGCTTGATGCGTCTTTATGCTATTGGCTGTGATTGTGTCAAAGCTAGCTGATTGACATAGAGGACAAGGGAATCTGCTCAAAATAAGAATCCGCACGACATTCAACTAACGCGCCAAGAGTACGGAGAGGCCAACTGACTCCTTGCGACTCCAAATACTCTGAGAATCGAGCACGCTTGAAACTTTCCGAAGTATTTTGAGCATACATAGTACAAACTAATTTACTTTGTTATACGAAGAAATAGCAAGAATAGAGAACTTACGAAGCATTTTCTTTGTAAGCTTGTAAAATTCTCATACTTGGTTATAACACGCTGCTTTTCTTCTTTTCACAGAGAGATATTTTAATTTTTCAAGATTGCAAGACCAAACGAAACAGAAAGTAAGTGTTGGTCCGTCTTCCAAACATATAAACCGGCTAAGATTTCTTCAAGAAAGCGAAACTATTTGTGATCAGCGCAACTTTATTCATTTGCACAAAATCAAGTACCGTAAATTGTTCTAGACATACATCTAAGGAAAAATACATGGCGAGCACACATCAGAAAATACATGTGTCACGGTAGCATTGATTCATTAGAGGGGTGCTTAGCGGCAAATCCGCACCTTGCATTCGAACAGTATTGCTGAACATGCCACTTAACAATTTTCACAATGAGGACGAAGACAACGGAATCAGATAATTACCAGCTTTTATTTCCAGTCTCTTTCTCATGACACAAGATTGTCTCAAACACGCGGTTCTTGCGCACAAAATTTCACAAAATTTAAAACAAAATCCATTAAGGAGTCTTTAATGAGCAGGTTTCCGATGCCACCTAGGTACATATATAAAGTATTATTTGTCGAAAAAGCTACCTTTCCGAGGTTAAGGGAAGGTGGGGCTCATTGGGACGGATGTTTTCTTGGCGCTCTACGTCAGAGACCTTTCGAGCTATAATGGTCGGGGCAGGCCTAAATTGTGCATTGACATCTAGCCTATCATACCCTGAAGCATTCAAACTTAATTCGACACGTTTTTAGGCAGGAGAGATATTTTCCGTAGAGTCTGCACTTGTCCCAATGTGGACAGTACCGGGGCACATTGGGACAGATCCGGGGCACATTGGGACAGCAATGAAAAAAATCTGGATCAAAGTCGTGCATTTATTTTTTCGGACCGCCAAGTTGTAGAAAAAGTTATGCTGAATACAATGAGCGCAGACTCGGATCTCTGGTGCCAAGCGTTCGGAAGATACGCTGCTTTCAGTGGAATAGTACTATTTTTCGTGTTTTTTCGACCTCTCTACTCGAGAAAACCCTGAAGTAATGTCTTTAGAGACCACATGCAGAAGATAACTTCTATTTGTTTGGACGAGACAAGACAATATATGTACGATTCATGTATTTTTGCTATCCACATGGCCCAGTAGCCTCACCCTGTCCCAATGTGAACTGAGCCATTTTAAAACTTTAACTCGGTCTATGGCCCTTGACCTCAAGACCAGGTTCCGCGCGATGACCCTTTTTGACGCCCATTGCACCAGGGTGCACATTCCTAACCTCGGCACGATCATCCGACGTGCATTTCAGACGCTAAAAAGAAAACAAAATTCAAAAATCGTGCTACTTTTTCATCGTTTTTCGTGGAATCGAACTTCCAACCCATGTTTCTCATTCAGAAAGCGTCCAGTTCTGTCCCCGAGTTGTGAAAACAGTAAACCAAATAACGCTCTATTATGGTCAATTTTCCGGAGAACCTGACATAACCGGAAGTTGGAAATATTGAAGGTGTCCCAATGTACCCGGTGTCCCACTGTACCCCACCTTCCCTTATCCTCTAAACAATAAAAACAAAACCAAACCAGCGGGTCCACTACGGAGTGTCATTATCAGATGACACTTTGGAAGCACGTTTATTGCTCGCAAAGTAACTTTCGCGGCCCACAAAGCGAGTTTTATCGACAAATTCAAAACTCTTCTTCTTTGACCTGAATTCACATGCGAGCGAGTGTAGTTCGTCTCCCCAGGACTCAAAGTCCTCTTCGTCATCTAGTCCCTCTGTTTCCAACTCGAGCAGCTTCAGATTAGGGGCCATCTCAGGCTTGATTCTGGACACATTCTCCGCGCACAACCAAGTCCCGCGAAGGAGGTGAAGCTCTTCGAGACTGGGGAGCGCCTTGAGTGTATCCTCCATCTCAGGGAAATACCAGACCGAATCCAACGACAAGCTCTTCAACTTTTTCAAAGCTCGGACGGCCCGGAAGATAGGGAGCACTCTCTTTTCGCATAACTGAAAATCCTTAAGGGTGAGGCTCTCTAATCGGCTGATAGTACACTGTTAAAAAAAGTGCTGTAAATTAACAGCACTTATGCTGTTAAGTTTGATAGCAACACGACTTATTTTATTACAAGCATGTTGTAGCCCTCGGTGCTGTTTTCTGACAGTTCGATTGTGATAAAACAATACTTCTTTGGAGTCTTCGACGATGTCTTCCCAACATTTGTGTTGATTTCATCGTGCTGTTATTAAACAAGACCCTTGTAACCTGACAACAATATATGTTTTAAGATTGCAAAAGGCTGTTTCTAAACATGAAACCTGTTCAACGACAAAACAACTGTTTTGAATCACGATTACATTACTGTTACTTTACAAGGAAGTTGTTATGAAACGAAAGTGCTGTTTCTGGATGGGTTTCCCGTTCAGATACAAAACAATACGGTTGTTATTGAACAGCATTACTGTAGGTGATCGTGTCGTAATATTACAGTGGATTTTTAACAGTGTAGAAGGCAACTTAAAAAACTCGGCGGCAGCCTGAATCCCCGCGGCTGTAGATGCGGTTCAACGTGAGTTTCTTGAGCTTGGTGCAGCCTCGCAGCTGGGCTAGCTCTCTGTAGCAGGGCACGTTTAGCTCCTCCAGCTCACTGTACTGAGACACTGCGGCGAAGGTGGCCTCCCGGTCCTCCCGGGTTATTGCGGTGGGAAGTTCGAAAGTGCGCAGACTGGCTGCACTAGCTAGGAACCGGATCAGCGGCACCAGCACGGACTTCTTGCCTTTGTTTTTCCCATAAAAAACACGTCAGAGCCTTTGAGTTTCAGAGTGTGCAGGTGGCGCCACTTTTCCGACTGGAAGGGGAAGGCCACATCCCGTAGGTAGGCAGCCGCTCCCAGACTCAAGACTGAGATGTTCGAGTCCTCGACGATGCCCCAGAGGCGCCTAACTTGATCGTCCGTCCAGAAGCTACTGTTCAGGTACAGCTCCTCCAGGTGGTCCTTGCAGCGCTGCAGCAGCGCCAGCACGGCCTCCTCGCTGTCCCGGCCGAAGGTCAACGAGAGCTGCTTGATCCTGGCCGGCGCCCTGGGCAGCGTCTCCAGCACCGACTTGGGCAGCGGCTTGGGTCGGTTTCCCGTCAGGTCCAGTGAGAGCGACTTGATGGAGGGCGCCGTGGTGAGGGTGTACAAGAACGCCTTCCGCTTGGCCTTCTGGACGATCGTCTGGGACGTGCAGTGCAGCAACTTCAGCTCCGTCAACTCGCTGCCCGCAGCCACCTGCACAAAAAGTCGTTACTCCCTGCTATTTCAAGGGGGTGTACACACACCTTAACTCTGATGTGGGTTACTATGTCTGTGGCAGCTGAACCTAACAACAATTTCATGTTTTCCTTTTTGGCCCATATTATCTAATAGTAGTTCAAGCTTGAATTAGAGAGAAGCCGACCCCCCCCCTCCCCCCCCCCCCGGGGTTAATAAGAGATACTACGGCAAAAATGAGCAAAGTTGGGGTGTCATTTCAAATTTTCACTCACAAAAGAATTTGGATGAAAATTCTCTGACTCCCAAAACAATTATTCGGTAAAATGAATGGCACCAAGCACTTAAGGTTGCTGTAAAATGAAAAAATATGAAATATCATTTTCCAAAATAATTGTGGTATCATGTTTGTATTTTGCTTTCTAGTTGCTTACTATAAGATGAACTTAATTCCAAAGTTGTGGCACCCAACTCCCATTAGTTTCTGAGTTATTGAAGTTTACATAACAAATTCAGTCGTTGGCCCCAATTCTCCTTGCAAAGATCCAAAAGTTATCGTGACTTGATTTGTGTTTCACAAGTTCTTTATTGATTTGCCTATCTCGTGGCAAAGCTTAGTTTCCAAATTTCCAACAGTAACATGAATTTTTCTCAAAAAACAAAATTTTTTTACCAAAATTTTGAAAATTTCAGTAAAAACAGAAAAACACATTTTTTTAAATAAAGATTCCAGCTACCCTATTGTCAAATCCGGTTTTGCTAGTCTGTTTGCATGCCCATTGGGCTCTAAAATGAAAAATCACACGTTCATAAACTTTTTGGTTCTTCGCAAGAAGAATTTTTAGAAAATGACTAAATTAACACTAAAACCCTCATAACTTTGGAACTAATGTGAGCTGGGAGTCCAGTCGTGGCTGTAAAAGTTATTCATAGGAAGCAGCCAAGTCACCGAAAACCAAAGCACTGCCACCTATACTTTGGAAGATGGTCTTTTCACCCTACAGTAACCTTAAAAAAGGGCCTTATGAACATCTTGGAGTTTTATGGAAAGTGCATGACAGAACCCAGATGTTCAGCGTTAAGTTCTTCAAGAAGTGAAAATTTTGAATGACAACTGAACTATGGTTGTTTTTGACCTAGTACCGTTGCAAATGCATGAAATTCTTGATACCGTAGTACAACTGCTAAGGACATGGATGAGTACATAAGATTTTTACCCCCTTTAATATGGAGTTCTATTTCTGGAGATGAAAATCGTTATGCAAATTAAATCTTGAGTTTTAGTTATCCTGTGTACAATTGTTAAATCTTGAAAAAAATTGTGAAGTGAAAAAAATACTCTTCTCGTCACCTATTTCAACTTGACAGATAAAAGAGTAAAATTTGTAAGTTTTCAGCTCCGTTTACAGCATAACTTCTTTCACACACAATGAACTGATGGGAAGGATCCGAGCAAAACAATTGATTCGAAAGAAGTTTCTGAAACTATCAGAGCAACTTTGAAGTGCCCCACAAATAGGAACCCAATAGGATTAGAAAAACAATGTGACATGAAACTGAAAATCGACTTCTTTCTTCATATTTTACCCGTTTCACTTCAAAATTGATTGAAATGAAAAATGCTCAGTAGATGCATGACTGAAATAAACACTCTCTGCCTTGGTTTTCACCAGTGTGTTCTTTAAGCCACACCCACTCACCTTGCAGTCGCGGTGGGCACTCCTCAGGTCTGCCAGCTGGCGCGCCGTCTCCTGATGCAGCCTCCGCTGCACCGCGACCTGCTCCACCAAGTGCTGCAGTCGGCTCTGCGCGGCCTCTAGGTCTTGCTGGGCCTGCTCCACCTTGCCGAGGCCCTGCTGCTCAGCCGGGGCTGCAGGTGCTTCCGAAGCGGACCTGCACGGCTTCTTGGCCGATGGACCGGCGTCGGCTGAGTCCTGTAACACCACACGCCATACGCGGCTAAATGAGCTACGCGTTTCGACAGGTGCTTGATGTGACCACTGATCGTTGTTCGAACACCGCCTTCAGAAGATTTTAAATTTTTAACCGCAATAAAGGCACTAAAATAGATTCAATGCATATTTCAAACTTTGTAAGGTTTTAAAATTCAAAACACCATTTCTCTTATTGCGAGCCGTTTTAGTATCCGTAAAGCTGTATGTTAAGACCAAACATCTTTAAAAAAAATAAAATTACATCACTTTATGGCAAGAAAAGTAAAAAGATGTGACTAAATTTTCCTGCCTACAACTCGCTTAACCTATTACATTACAGGACTATTACAGATCAATTTCACACCGGACAACCAACCATTATCAGAGTGAGTTCCCCCTCGCGTATTACGCATGAAAACTACGATTGTATTATGCTAGCGCCATTTCCTTTGCATTGTGGAACATTGCTTCGTAAGGCACTTGCAGTGTGAAACCTATATTCTTAAATTTAGAAAACGAACAAGTCAGGCGAGAGGCTTTGAAACACACTGTAACCTGTAACCCACCTCGCAGGAAGCGTGGGCGTCTCGCAGCTCCTCCAGCTCGAGGCACTTCTTGGCGTGCTCCGCGTTCATCTCGGCGAGCTTGATGCACTTCTTGGCCGCCTGCAAAACCACCTGGGCTTCCTGCTGCTTGATGCGCGCTGCCTCCAGTTCAGTCTTCGTCGATTCGACGCGTCTCTCCGCAAGCTGCCTGGACGACATGGCAGTGGCCTGGACGCTGCAACAACAAACAAATGAATAAATTTCAACAAACACCTCCCGATTTTAGTATGTTAACCACGAATGTTCAAAGGCTTGCGAAAATGATGTTGGGAGTTTGGGACTTCGTTAATTTACCGACGGTCCAATTTTTGTTTTACAACGGTCCTAAATTTAGAAGATTTTTACCCGTGAAAACATAGAACTTAGGAGAGCCATACATAACTTTTGCCTTTTGGCTGTGTCAAAAAGGATTACTTATTCATTCCATTGAAGCGACAAAGCTTAATCAATTTCACTGACCTCTCTTCAAGTTGCAGTTCAATTCGGGAAGTGCGCCGCCCTGCAACAACAACGAACTCGTTGCGGAGCGAACTCCTTCCTTTGCAGATGATCACCAAGACTGTCGATGTCGGTGGAGCAGTGCGCTCTGTCTTCTGTCGACACAGCGAGCGACTGGCGGCATAGCGCGTCGCGTAGCGCGCAGCAGCCAGCGGGCCAGCACCAGTGTTGCCAGAAGCGGCGCCAGGAACGGTTAGGGGACCACAAATCGGCGCGGCGCAGGTCCCCTTCCGAGCGCGCCCGAGGTCCCCCTCGCCGAGCGCGGCCCGAAGGCAAGCCCGAAGGTCCACGTGGGTATTCCGAGGATGGGGATAACCCCGGACCCTCGGGGGGCTTAGTCACTCAAGTAGAGTTGTCGAGCGCCTCCTCAGCAGATGTCTCCGTGGCTCCGGGGTACCACCTCTGCCTACGGCCTCTAGTATTGGTGGTTCAAATACTGGCCAGTTTTTAATTTTTCGGTTTCACCCATCCTTTTTAGTTATGTTCAAATTTTAGGTTGGACAATATGTTTTAAGAATATTAAGGTTTGGTTTATATATGGTACGTTAGGTTACGTAAAGTTGGTCAGGTCGCAAGTGACCGAAACTTGTCGCGACTATAGCATGAAATATTTTGAGAATAGAGTAGGCTAAGATCTGTTGACATTAGAAATAGATCTGCCGCGATGAGAATAAGATCTGTAGCGAGCCCGTTTGGTTTTGATTAGGATAGGTTGGACAAATTATTTTAAAAATATTAAGGTAGCCGTCTGTCCACACCAACATACTACAATTTCCTTCTGACGAACATGCATTTCCATCTGCAGCAGAATCTAGCTCTGCATCGAAGCCGAAGACCTTCCCCTGGCTAATACACTCCAAATTGAAAGGCGGTATTGAAATTACCGCCTTATACATGCCATCATTACCACCAATCAAAGGCGGTACTTTCATTTACCGCCACAACTATTCCATCAGTTATTAAAACATTGAATCAGTACCGCCAGTCAGAGGGAGTACCTAAATTACCGCCAAACACAAGCCATCAATACCGCTCATCAAAAGGCGGTTGTTTGATTTACCGCCTGCACTGTACCATTGTGGTCAGATATAAATGTCTCGCTGAATCCAAAATTGTTAATATATCCTAGGTGATGTGTGGATTCATGGCAGATTGGATAAGTTACTAGATTATGATTGCACACAAAATCAATAGAAAACTTTTCTAATTACCGGTGTAGGTTGTCAGGCCCACTGGGGACTCTTAAGAGAAACGACAGTTGTGACGCTCATAAACTGAGAGGTCCATACTTGCATAGCATAGCCGCTGTCATTCAGTTTTCTTGAAGTCAGATGTACTCACATGAATCATGATTGAGTGCACAGCAGTGAAACTGCTGCTCAGAAGATAAATATGGCAAACAGGTTGAGTCACCCAAAACAGATAGCATCAAATCTTGAAGCTTTCTGCACTGGTAAACTGGGCTTGGTGCAGCACAGATGTGATAAACTTATGAAGTTTTGACAGTTTTCTCATCTTACACGCACTTTCACTGTAGCTTGGATGATAGCAAACAATCTTCGCCCACGCACGACACAGTTGGCAAAAGGTCGCCATCTCACAAAACCAGAGGAAACTTGATTATATTTATGGATATTGGACAAAAACACGAACCGACGGCAGCCCTTTGTCTCTGATTTTCAGGTTAGTTCTGCTTTTGTTTTTGTAGGCCTCTAACTGCGAATACTGCCTATGTCGTGCGTACAGCCGACCCGTAACTGCCCATAAAAATATCAGATATTCGCAGTCACTCGTCGCGTCAACAAAACAAGTTGCAGAAAGAAAATGGCCGCCTGTTACTGTGCATGCATATCAATATTATTCAGTTTCTTCTAGTTTTGGGCAATGACGTCTGGTGCCAACGGGGTCCAGTGTGGGCGAGGATTGTTCTTTACCATGGAAGCAACTGTAAAACTGCGAGTGAAGTGGATTAACTGTAAAAATTTTATAGAAGTTCATCAACACAGTCTGTGGTCTGAGCTCCTGTGCTCTGGGCCCAGTTTAACAGTGTACAATGCTACATGTTTGAATACAAGCTTTATGAGTTACCTCAACATTTCTGCTAATTTCATCAAAGAAGCAGTGCCACAGTGATTAATGTGAGTACATCTGACTTCAGGAAACTGAATGTTAGCGGCTCTGCCAAGTGAACAAGGACCTCTTAGTTTAAAAACGGAAACAAAATTTACTGCTCGCAATAAGCGGTAATTATAATTCTTGCTTGCAATGTGGTACAACATTATGGTTTAGAGCGGTGTTATACATATATGACCACACTTCCCCGTATTGACAGTACAAAATGGTCTCCTGTCCATTGGCGGTAATATTTATTAGCGGTAATGAAAATTCCTTCTCTTAATTGGCGGTAACTTCATACCGCCATTCAAGTACCTCAAACTATTTTTTCTCCTGGCCTGATGATGTACCGCCTTTTTGTGGCAGTAAAACTATACCGCCTTCCCAAAGGCGGTAAAATCTGGAGCCCGCCTTTTAAAAAAGTACCGCCACAAAAGGGTGGAAATATTACCTCCTTTCAATTTGGAGTGTAGATGTTAAAACTATTAGCATTTAGGGTATTTCGATGATTATGGCTCCTTCGTGCCCCAGGTTGCCGTGCTCGGCACGGCACAAAGTCCCCTTCGGCTCCGGCCGCTCGGCACTCTTCGGCACCGCTCGGCTCGGCCGCCAGGGGGACCTGCGCGGCGGCGATTTGTGGTCCCGTATCAAGACGTGCGGCGCCGCGGGTTGCCAGACCCTGAGTAGGCCAGTGCGCCACCAGAGCGCGCTCTGAGCGCCACTGGGCGCCACGGAGGCCAAGTCGCCACAGATCGCCACCGGACCGCTCAAGTCGCCACTCTGGCGCGGCGCCGGGCGCCACAGGTCGCACTAGATCTCCACCGAGGCGCCACCGTCGCCACCCGTTTCGGCGCGCAGGTTCGGCCGGCCGAGGGCCGAGGAGCGCGGAAAAGTCCCTAATCCGCCGGCCGAGCGGCGAGCGCGCCGAGCCAAATCGCCACCGATTCCGCGAAGTCGCCACTCCAGCGCCACTCGGGTCGCCACCGAAACTCGGCGCCACTTCGGCGCCACTCGGGCAGACCGAGCGCCACTTCTGGCAACGCTGAGCGGCGGCGCTCGGGCGGCCCGAGTGGCGCCGAAGTGGCGCCGAGTTTCGGTGGCGACCCGAGTGGCGCTGGGGTGGTGGCGACTTCGCGGAATCGGTGGCGACCGGTGGAGACCGGTGACGCTCGGCGCGCTCGTCGCTCGGCGCGCTCGTCGCTCGGCCGCCGGATTAGGGATTACGGACTTTTCCGCGATCCTCGGCCCTCGGCCGGCCTGGCGGAAGTTTCCAAGTATTGCAACGCGCCGAGCGCGCATCGTTGCACAGTGGCACACGGTTTGACGCGAAAGATGCCAACAATCCCTCTCCCCCCCCCCTTCCCTTCCCCTCGTCACCGGGCAACAAACAGCTGACAGCGGGCGGTTACTCGGGGGTCCTTCGAGGTGCCTCCAAGGAGGGCACTTTGAGGATGGATACGGGCCCTCAAAACCGGGGAGGGGGGAGTCCCACCCTTCCCACCCGGGCGGCCCGGCGGGCCAGTCCGTCCCCGTGCGGCTGGAGTCCAACAACACCGCGATGGCGGGAAAGCGGGCCTCCCTGGCAAACTGGCTGCAGTCAGCCGCCAAAAGACCAGTGAGTCCAGGCATACCAAGATCACAGAAACATACATGATCATGGCGACGCGAAACAAACCGTCCTGTTCTAGGCTCTGAGCTCTACTCCACCTACACCCCCTCATCTGCACCTGCTAGCGGGGTCGTTGCTGCCCGGTCGAAAGCAGTCACGCGGCGCCGCCTCCTCAGCGTTACCGCAGTAGCCCAGGAGGTTGGTCACGGAAAGAGAAGGAATACTAACAAATTTACTTTAGCCCGCAAAATCTCATGCGTCGTACTCACAGAAGGGTCCCCACGACAATGACGATGAGCTGTCGTCCGGGGTCTTATCCTCCACTAGCTTGGCCTTGAAACGGGTCGTGTCTACGCCGAAGAGGCGCTACAATCCAGAGAGGGAAAAGGAGCCAGAGCTGAGAGGGTGGCTGCCACGTAGCCCCGGCAAGGGAGCAAAGAACATTGTAATGGTGAACTGCGCGCGCACCATGGTGACCTCATAAAGCATGGTACGAAAAGTGACATGCATCTTGAAAAGATGGAACTCTACAACAGCAGCAAACAGAAGCGCCTTGATGACCTTGGTATGCTTGGCTGGAAACTAGAACAACTAAGGGGCGGTATACGTGTACTAACTTAGCCACTTGTTTACCCTAGGTATCCACGTGGGTGGGGACGAAGGCAAGCGGACAAACTTGAAACTCGCGACCCATTCCGCAATAAGAAGAATTGATCACCTGGCCGACATCTTGAGGGTGGTGGGCAGAGGTTCGAACCTGGAGCACCTCAAGCTGCACAGAACTAAGTGCTCGCGCCTCATCGTGGCTGTGATTGCCCCATGCATGCATGCTCAGCGAATTGGTCAGAGACGTCGGTGATCAGGGCTATTCACTTATTATCGACGAATCGACTGATGTATCAGTGATCAAGTTCGTGGCCATTGTGATAGAGTATCACTCGAAAGCTGTAAACGAAATGATCACTGACTACTTAGGGTTCGTTGAGGTCTACAGAGCTACTGCTGTTGCCCTGTTTGAATCGCTCCGCGAGTTTCTGGCGTAGGTGCCAACCCATCAGCACTGCCCACGAGGAGCGGATTCGTGGTGTAAGTAAACCAAAGAGCTGTTGCTGCAAAGAAGACTCGGCAATTCAATCATCGGGTGTTTGCATGATACTTGTTTGCATGATGGCGTGCGAGAAGGTCTTTGAAGATTTGACCAAAGCTGATCTGCTGAAGAAATGTATCGGAGGATACACCCAAAACCCGAATGAATCTGTTAACAATCTAATTTGGCTACGATGCCCCAAAGCTAAGTTCTTTGGCAAGAAATCCGTTGACATAGCTGCTGCTGAGGGTGTCCTCCAATTCAATGACGGATGCCGAGC